CCCACAAACACACCCCCACCTTTCTTTGAAAGGCGGTAGCATTGGATAAGCGGTTCAGAATACGGATGGATAGACTATTATGAAGTTGGCACATCATGCTTAGCACTGGATCCCAGACAAGTGTTTATCGGTGTTCCCGTGTGAGCAGAAATATGTTTCTTTTCAACACTTCTCACAGGAGCAAATCTAAAGCAAGCAACAGGTTTGGGCTGGAACGTAGGTCGTGGAAGGTAAGAGGCTTACTTGCACAAGTTGTGATCACTTAGATTGGACAATTTAAAGACAACTCCCCCAAAAAACAGAATAGCTCGATTAATTTACTGTCCATCAACAGGTTGCGAACAGATGAAGGGCAGAGAGGAGCGTGTTGCAATGTGACGACATCATTCTGACTTACCGTCCGATGAGGTCCAATGCTGCATTCGTTGTTCTGTTTGGATTTTGCAGCCGTGCAGCTGTTGTGTTGAAATTTTTTTTTTGAGTTAAATTCTATGTCTGCATTAGAGATAACAATTCAAACATTACCTTCAAAAAGAAGCCAATGTCAACAGTTGACAACTGCTGTGTGAAACTTACCCGTGTATCTCTGCAGCAACCGAAGTTATATTGATTTGGGGGGGGTGGGTGTGAGCGCGGATGGTTGTTCGTCTCCGCGTGCCCTGCGATTGGCTGGCAACCGGTTCAGGGTGTACTTTGCCTACTGACCGAAGACAGCTGGGATAGGCTCCAGCACGTCCGCAATCCTCGTGAGGATGAAGCGGATTAGAAAATGGATGGATTAACGCACGCACACACACAGTCAGCACTTTAGATTTTATTTCATGGTATTTGCATGACATCTACATGTGTTAATCCACTCAGGGCAGAGCACCTTTTGTTTGTACCCTCCCACTTTTCAGGTGAGCAAAAGTATTTGGAACGGATATTGTTACATTTAAATTAAAGTGAATAGAGGGCTCTGTCCTTTTAGCAATTACCCACAATGCACTACCAGCGGCCATATTGGAGGGCTGTTATAAACAAGCCATACACGTGGCTTGGAGCTCTCTCCATATATTTTTTTCCTGTCACCTGATTTGTTATACACGTTGTGTTAATTTAGTAAAATGAAAGGTCATACATAAAGGACGGATAGCTCAGTAACTAGGTAGCTAGATAGCTAGGTAGCTAGATAGCTAGCTAGCTAGATAGATTGAACATCATGGCCTTTTTCAGGAGCCACATACAACATAATTTCCGTACCTCCTGAGAAGTTGCATGCCGGCGACACCCTGCAAGGCGCCAAAATTCTGTGTTCCATCACTCCGGCAAACAAGGCCCATCCTTCCTACTACCATAGTTTCGGTAAGTCAGCATGTAGCGGCTGGTTACAGCGGATACTCATCTGAACAACTGTCCTCTCCCCAGCCATGTCGGAGAACTATTTAGTGTTTATTGAGCAACCGGTTAAAATTGACCTGATGAAGATACTGACATGTATGATGAGGGGCAAGGCACTGTGCGATGCCGTTTATTGGGACCCCAAGGTCAACACCATCATGCACCTCATCAACAAGCGTACAGGCAAGGTGAGAGATCGCAGTCAGGAATGAGGAATCACTCCATTGAGTTGAAGTCTAACATGTTCATTTCTCCTCAGGTCAGCCCAATGAAGTACTACGCCAAAGCTTTCGCCAATTTCCATCAGATCAACGCCTTCGAAGAGGATGGATTCTTGATGATGGACCTGTGTTGCTTTGACGACGGCCAAGCACTTGACATCTACTTCCTTCAGAATCTGCGCAAGTCGGGAGAAGCACTAGATGAGGTCAGGTCACCGTCAGAAGATATTTTCTCATTGTTCCTCTTGGCCCATGACAGGAGAGTAAATGAGAGTGAAATGGATTCCAAACGTATGAACCTGACTAATATTTGGAGATGATTATGTTTACTGTCGACTGCCATTTTTAGAAGCACACCGGTGGCATTCTTTTCATACAGGTGTACAACAGTATGAGCAGAGCTCTTCCTCGTCGTTTTGTTTTACCGCTTCATGTGACTGATGACACGCCAATTGACCAAAACCTGAACACTCGTCCTTCCAGTTCGGCAAGATGCTTCAAAACCAGCAGCACGATGGTAAATTGGGATTCATCTCGAAATACTGAACTCCTCTCTGAGTAGTCACTTCTTGCAAAGCAGCACTCTGGAACTCTAATCTTTCTCGCCTCCTTAAATCGTAATTCCCACACAGATACTCCGAAATAGATTTTGGATGGTTTCCGGTAATTTGTTGTGTTTTACCTTGTACATTAGTTGTGCTGTTTGGAATGATACAACATCCCCAAACGTTAATAGATGTGTGAACAAAAACTGCATGTCTTCATTTCCTTCAGACCGAAAGACACAAATGACATCAGCTAAATTCACAGACTGAAACCGCTGACGACGCATGACAATGATGACCTGATCCCCCTCTTTGTCATCAGGTGTTCTGCCAATCCGAGGATCTCCATGGCGATGACCTCTACCAATACGGTGGCCTGGAGTTCCCTCACATCAACTACGAGCGATACAACACGCGACCTTATCGGTATTTCTACGGCTGCGGCTTCAGACACCTGTTCGGTGATTCGCTTCTCAAGATGGACCTCAACGACAAAACGTTCAAGGTGAGGTACATGCTTTGTTCTTGTGTAATTATTAATATTTTTGTATTTGTTTTTTTTAGGTGTAGCCAACAAAATTATTGGAGTATCAGCATTTATTGAAGATATATTGGGGTTTACTGAAAAAAAAAATAAATCTGTTTTGTTCTTGGCACTATTCATGCTCACGTGCAATCAGGTGTGGCACCAGAAGGGTCTCTTCCCGTCAGAGCCGGTGTTTGTGCCGTCACCAGACGCCACGGAGGAGGACGACGGCGTCATCCTCTCCGTGGTTCTCTCGCCCTCACAGGTAAGGTGTTTAAAGAAGGACGAATATTGTTGAAATGTGCGGCTTTCTGCTTTTGTGAACTGAAAGTGAATCCGCACAAGATAACATCACCAGTGTGGAAAAAAGACATGCACTCCCCAAGCCCCCGTTCCCCCCCCCCAAAAAAATATTAAAACCTTTGTGGGTTTTTCTCTCCAACATTAGAATAAAAGCACATTCCTCCTGGTTTTGAACGCCAAGACGTTTGAGGAGTTGGGAAGAGCCAACGTGCCGGTCAACATGCCCTACGACTTCCACGGCGTCTTCAGCGCATCCACTTGAATGAGTTAGTTGATGTCAATCATGATTTCAATATGGTCATCATATTAACGATAATCCGAAAGCACGAAGTAAGTACGATGACTTATAACTGTTATAATGACGGTACTGGAATGATTTGCTCCTGTAGGCTTGGAGAGATACTCCTCTGTTAGCAACTGGAGGTAAATGAATACAAATTATAGAGTCCAGGGTTTTGTTGTTTTTTTTTTTTGTTCTTCTTGGATTAGTTGCCTGTACGCAACTTTTGTATGAGCATAACATTGATAAGCCTCACCCAGATGCAATGAAAAGCTTCTTCATATAAATGTGCTTTGAAATCAATATCATTTGGGGTCTCCCCCCCCTCTTTTTTTTACTCAATCTTTTCTATAAAATTCTGAATCCATTGAAAACTCTGTACTTGTCTTTATTTGCACACACAGAGGAAATATTCTACAACTTAAAGAAAATATGAAGCAAAAATATTGCTTATTCCAGAATCCCTGCGCTCCATGTTATTTCATTGAATGATTCAATGCTGTATTTTGAACATGCAGCAAAAAAGTTTTAAAAATTCAATGTCAAAATTTCCATATTGAAACACTTTGTGCTACCACTTCATTTTCATTCACTTGGAATTTTAAGGGAAAGCAATCCAGTCACGTGAATGAAGGGCACACCATGTGACTAAACCAGTCGCAGTGGCGGCTGAGGCGGAATGCGCTTGAAAGCATCCACCCGTGGTGTCTCATTTCGATGCTATAGCAACCGTGCCGTGCCTCTCTGGATTATGTAAGGGCATTGTGTTACGTAACCACGTCGCAGCTTGCTGCACCACTCCACTTGCGTCTGGCTAAGAGTGACACGCTCTTCGTTCACCGCCGCGGACATGGCCCCCGTCAATAAGGCAGGTAAGACTCTGCTCTTCGGGAGAAAATGTCACACTGACAATTTGAATTCCACCGTTGAAATAATGGCGTGGCTGTCAGGATGACTTGCTGTAATTTCTCATGACTTAAGGAAGAAAAAAAACATCTCGTGGTTCAGACCCGTTTTGCTTTCCATTATTGGACTTGCTCTCGGAGAGGAAGGCAAAGAAAGCATATTTAAACTTGTGTATGATTCTTCTATGTCCTCTCGTTACTATACTGTACGTATATGAAATATGTTTTTTGTCCCAGTTTCAACATGTGCAATTTTATAAGACAATACATCTTTATTTGTACAGACAAATCTATGGAAATTATTACAAAATGAGTAGCGCATTGAATTATGATTTTTATTTTTTGCATCAATGAATAAACCTCCGTACGGACAACTGTCAAGTGGGGAGGAAATTGTAAACAGACTTTGTGGACACCCTGTAAATTATACCTTGTGTATTATACAGCGAATAATTTTTGATCCACTTTGAGGCTGCGTGAGGAACAGTAATGTGCCATCGTCTTGCTGTTTATTAATAATGTTGAATTGAATGCTTTGAATTATTATGTCCCCATTTTTAAGTGATTTGGTAACCCCATGCGAGATGTGCATCCAACACTTTAAGGGGCTTTACATTCCAGTTTAAAAGTTATGTCATCCGTGAACCTTTATGTATGCAAAGGCTCTCAACACTAATTCAAATCAGATGTTTCCTTTTTGCAAAATCACGTTGCTTTGGGACTTGCCTTAAGCCAGGCAGCACATGTGTATCCCTGATGCGAGTGCACCGCCGCCTCAAAAAAACAAATGAAATCCATTCTTATTTTTCATGACGCGTGCACAGAACAGAAGAGCTTTTCCTGGTTGTGTCATTTGAAATCAGCTTATCAGATATGGAAGTGTCACTTTGACTCCTCCCATATATCGGATTTTATAAGTCTACAATGTTATTGAAAGTGTTGGCACGGTTACCTTGAAGAAGTAACTAAATACCTGCGTGAGAGAGCCAGCGAAGATGAAATGTATGATTTCAGCCGGTTCACGCTTTCTCATCGCTGCAACCTGGAGGCTGTTAACTGCATCTGGATTACATCACGAAATACAGATTTCCCTCTTCAAGGAGAAGGAAACGTGCAGATGAAGATTTCGTGATCTTATATAAGAAACTGTAGTCTGATTACTTGACTGGAATGTGTTGTCATGACTTGAAAATGTGCCCGTTTTGGAGTTCACGTGTTAGTTTCTAAGTAAGGCGTTACCAACATCACTGGTTATCGATGAGCCGTTTGTGTGTGCAGAAGATGCCCAAAATGAGGTGAAGAAAGGTGAGGAGAAGAAGGGTGAGGAGAAGAAAGGTGAGGAGAAGAAGGGTGAGGAGAAGAAAGGTGAGGAGAAGAAAGGTGAGGAGAAGAAGGGTGAGGAGAAGAAAGGTGAGGAGAAGAAAGATGAGGTGAAGAAAGGTGAGGAGAAGAAGGGTGAGGAGAAGAAAGATGAGGTGAAGAAAGGTGAGGAGAAGAAGGGTGCGGAGAAAAAAGGTGAGAAGAAGAAAGGTGAGAAGAAGAAAGGTGAGGAGAAGAAAGATGAGGTGAAGAAAGGTGAGAAGAAGAAAGGTGAGGAGAAGAAAGATGAGGAGAAGAAAGGTGAGAAGAAGAAAGGTGAGGAGAAGAAAGATGAGGTGAAGAAAGGTGAGAAGAAGAAAGATGAGAAGAAGAAAGGTGAGGAGAAGAAAGATGAGGTGAAGAAAGGTGAGAAGAAGAAAGGTGAGGAGAAGAAAGGTGAGGAGAAGAAAGGTGAGGAGAAGAAAGATGAGGTGAAGAAAGGTGAGAAGAAAGGTGAGGAGAAGAAAGATGAAAAGAAGAAAGGTGAGGAGAAGAAAGGTGAGAAGAAGAAAGATGAGGTGAAGAAAGGTGAGGAGAAGAAAGGTAACACGACAGAATTGAAAGGTTTGGAGACCCTCGCTCCCCTGGTCCGCTCTGTCGAGGAAACCCCCGATGTGATCCATGCTGAGGTGCAAGGGACCATTCCCCACTGGATCAATGGCAGCCTGCTCCGAAACGGCCCGGCAAAGTTTGAGTTTGGAGACACTCCGTGAGTTCAAACATTCAACAATATTTAAATAGTCTAAACTTTTATTTTTTATGTCACAATATACAGTTTCCGTCCGAATTGTGTCACTTGAACCATGCAGTGTAAATCCAAACTTTTAGAGGATATTTCAGTTCAAATGCCCATACTGTATCTGAAATAAAGTCTTTCCTCCATGACAGCTTCAACCACTGGTTTGATGGGATGGCCATGCTCCACAAATTCAAGATGGAGAAAGGCAAGGTGACGTACACCAGTCGCTTCCTGCGCAGCGAAGCCTACAAGATGAATAGCGAGCGGGACCGTATCATGGTGTCTGAATTTGGTACCGTGGCAATGCCCGACCCTTGTCAAAACATCTTCCAGCGATTCTTCTCTCGCTTTGAGATGATAAGTGAGTATTAACATGCGAATTGTATCACTGTCAGAACATATTGCTTTGTGATCCTACACTGTAGTTTTGGATCTCTTCCGAAACATGCAATCATGCTACCTAAAAATGTTTTGTTACGATGCAGTAAGCGAAATGTCTTAAAATGTTCCATCCGTTTCGTGCTTGTGGAAACTATGATGTCCAACTCTGTCATTGGGGCTAACTATACACTGTGTTATGAAACAGGACAAGTTGCAGGAAAGTGAATTAGAGGAGGGAGCAGACATTTGTTGATACAATTGCCTTCTTGGAATAATGACCTCCAGAATGTACAACGCACTCTGCAGATTTCCACGAAAGGAAAGACGCTCATATTTTCTCTCGTATTTGTCTGTTCCAGAGCCCACAGACAACGCAAATGTCAACTTTATGAAATGCAAAGGAGACTACTATGTCAGCACAGAGACCAACCTGATCCACAAGGTGAACCCAGAGAGCCTGGAAACACTCCAACAGGTACACACATACAGCCCATGCAGTAATTAGATGCAACTTAGTGTCTTGCTAAATGTTTTACATTTACAGACCACTTGTCTTGACATAATACTAGATTGACAGATGCTCACCTTCTTGTCTTGTTGGTAATTATATAGGCAGGGAATTGCCGGCAGATTTGTAAGAAGTAGGGTTGTGCCACTGTGGGAGTGGTCATGACCACCCTTCAATTATGGGTGACGAAAGTAGCTAGATGTGGTGTGAGCAGGGACGAGGTTTAGATCGACTTTCTGCCATCAAACAGTCACGCCGAAAGGTACGTCGCCAAGACACTCCGGCAAGCAATTTGGCAAACACGCAGCAAGACTTGCTCTGATTTGTAAATCAGGATCTACCGGCTTTTGCGTCGCTCCGCAGATGTGCTGCCTACAAAAATAGAGCTCACAGTGTTGTTTTTGTAACACACCTGGATGAACAAGGTGGGAAAAACAAAGTTCATCACAAGGTCACGAGAGTATGCCCATGCTCGATTTTTTTCGCAGAACGTTTTCCTCATGTTTTGCTGTCAGGTCCTAAAGACTCTTTGATCAAAGTAATGACGCTGAACAACAAAATAAAAGACAACTCGTTGTCCAAAAGTTGAAATGTGGATGACAATAGCTGCTGTGCTTTGCAGGTAGACTGGAGCACGTTTGTTGCTGTTAACGGAGCTACCGCCCACCCTCACTACGACCCTGATGGCACCTGCTTCAACATGGGCAACTCCTATGAAGGCAAAGGTAAATTTGCCCTCTTTCTCGCCAAAATCCTTTCTCGTCTCCAAAATTGTCTCCATACTCTGACAAATGGACATTGGGCATTTTTCAGGAACCACGTACAACATCATCCGCGTACCTCCTGGGAAGTCGAACGACTACGACACCCTGCAAGGTGCCAGCATTCTCTGTTCCATCGCGCCTTCGAACAAGTCCCACCCCTCCTACTACCACAGCTTTGGTAAGTTAGCGCACTGCAGTTGGGAGCGCTGGTGCTTGCTCCTGAACACACTTTCTTCCCTCCAGCCATGTCGGAGAACTACGTGGTGTTCATTGAGCAGCCGATTAAAATAGACCTGGTGAAGATAGTCACGTGTAAGTTGCGGGGCAAGGCGTTCAGCGACGCCGTTTACTGGGACCCCAAGCAAGAAACCGTCCTGCATCTTATCGACAAGAAAACGGGCGAGGTGAGAGGTCGCAAACCGGCTTGAGGTGAAGGATCGCTCGATTGGATTGAAGTCTAATGCCGTCTCAATCCTGTCAGGCCAGCCCAGTGAAGTACTACGCCAAAGCTTTCTCCAACTTCCATCAGATCAACGCCTTTGAAGAGGCCGGATTCTTGATTTTGGACCTGTGTTGCGCTGACGACGGCAAAGCCCTTGACATCTACACACTTCAAAATTTACGCAAGTCGGGAGAAGCACTGGATAAGGTTAGCCTCGGCACAGAGAGCCCTCTCTGATTCAAATTTTGCTGTTGACCAGTGTTCCTGGATAGTTTTACAGCCCAATGTTACACATTTTCACGATAGAGAATTACAGCGGAACATTTCAGGACGATATTCCACCTCTCATTTGTTCTGAGTTGAAACAATTTTGTGTAAAAGAAAAAAAAAATGACGTCGTTGGCATTGTTTTCACGCAGCTGTACAACAACATGAGCAAGGTTTTCCCTCGCCGCTTTGTTTTGCCCCTCCAAGTGAGCGATGACACGCCGATCGATAAAAACCTGAACACTCGGCCTTCCAGTAAAGCAACATGTGTCAAAAAGAGCAACACAAGGGTAAGTGGGGATTAATTTCAAGCTTCTTAACTATTCTCCTTGAAGTTATTTAAAATATTAACCATATGTTCGCCTCTGAAAGTATTGCAGTAAATCTAGTTCAAGACTAAGGAAAGCAAAACTTGGAGCAGCAATCGAAATAAACAGAAGAACTTTAGCTCAAACAAAAACTGTAGATTTTTTTTAGATGACAATGACGATTTGATCCCCACTTTGTCATCAGGTGTTCTGCCAATCCGAGGATCTCCATGGCGATGACCTCTCCAAGTACGGCGGACTGGAGTTCCCTCACATCAACTACGAGCGATACAACGCGAGGCCTTATCGGTATTTCTACGGCTGCGGCTTCAAACACTTATTTGGAGACTCGCTTCTCAAGATGGACCTCAACGACAGGACGCTGAAGGTGTGTAGCCTTTCCCATGATGCACTGCAACACTGCCCACCAGGGCACAATCCACAATTTGATTTTGGGACCGACAATGATGTAAAAATACGCAAAAGCTCAAGTCGCGACTTTTTAATGTTGCTCTGTTTGACCCTAATCCGTTCCCATGTGACCTCAGGTGTGGTACCAGAAGGGCCTCTTTCCATCGGAGCCGGTTTTTGTGCCCTCACCAAACGCCGTGGAGGAGGATGACGGTGTCATCCTCTCCGTGGTTCTGTGCCCTTCGCAGGTAAGATGTTTCAAGTCGGAATATTCTGTCAATGTACAGCTTGGGCTTTCTGTGAGCTAATCATGCCAAGAAAATGACATGGACCGATGTTTAAAAATGAGATGCGGCCCATCTGCGAAGGGAAATACTGACACCCTCATTTTGGGGCATTAAATTCAAGAGTACTTTCAATTTTTTGAAAGGTGGGCGTCCCTTAACTATTACGCTACCGATATTAGGATATAGGTAGTGAACTGCTTGTTCACTAATGTTTGTTTTGTTGATTCCTCCAAAATCAGGATAAAGCCACATTCCTCCTGGTTTTGAACGCCAAGACGTTTGAGGAGTTAGGAAGAGCCAACGTGCCTGTCAACATGCCCTACGGCTTCCACGGTGTCTTCAACGCATCTGTAGTTAAATGAATATGTTCCAGCATGTTTTCTCACGGAGGATATTGTTCATGATCATATTCCAAAAATACCAAGCAGGCTGACTGATCACTTTTATATCATGGTACTGGACTGATTTCCTGCTTTCTGCCTTACAAAGCTACACTGCTCTGTTATCAACCGGATGCAAATGAAGACAATTCTTACAGTGTGCATTTTTATTTTTTATATTAGTTTACACATCTTTTCTACGAGCGTTAAACTGCGACACCGTACTCACAAAGTGCTGAAAATGCCTTCCTTCAATAAATGGGTTAAATCAATGTCATTTGAATGTAGCACTGTTTTTTTTTTAACTCGTTGTCCATCTTTTCTTGAACATTCTGATACCATACAGTATGATGGTCATAATTAGACACAGAGAAAGAAAACACAATTCAAATTAATGAACCAATTATTGACTAAAATTAAAACTGCCAATCCGGATGCACTCCCCCCCCGATGACCATGCGATGCTGTAGAGGCGTGTCAACCAGGACAACATACAGAGCCTTGAGGAACTCCGGGCGGATCCCATCCACCCCCGGCGGCTTTGTCACCGAGGAGCTTTTTAACCATTTTTTTGAAATTTAAATTTTGATGGCCCTTGCCCATATATACAGTATCAATTCAGTGCAAAAACCGTGACCGAAAACTTTGTGAAGCCCCACCAGCTCGCCCTGGATGCTGCAGCTACATTATAATATTACCAAGAGAAGCTACGGACGAGATATAAGTGTTGTTTCCACTGACTGCACACTGTGCAATTCGCTGGCAGAGACTCTCCACAACTCGCTTTTGTTGACATGGGTAGATATGAAATGATAAATAGAGCTAAGTATTATTTTACCACACTATTTCTGCATGGAGTTAGCTGCTAAATGTTTTGAAACAAATGTATTCAAATTTTAATGGCATTTGTTTTCACTTTATTACATGTACAGCAAAACAAAACACATAGGGAACACAATGTGACTAAACCAGTTTGCTTGTCAGTTGCGTTTACTGTACTTGGGAGACGTTATGGCCACGTGAAGTCACCAAGTTGGAATGAATAACATAATCGAGATGTTATTGAAAAAATGTGAGGCGTGCTCAGCACTACTCATCACTTTGGCCAAAGGCGAGCGGACGATTGTATTCATCCACCAATGCCAACATGTCCCCAGTCAACAAGGCAGGTAAGACGATTCCGTTCTGTCGATAATGTCATTTTAACACTGTCCGTCCGGTCATTACAATGAATGAATAGTGTGACAGGACTTACTGCACTTTCTCATCAGTGACTGCTAAAGGATCATCCAGTATGTGGAAGTAGACATGGAATCTATGGAAGATCCACTTTGCTAAATTATTGTAACTGCTTGAGTGCTCTTCAAGACAGAAGCAGGCAATGAAAGCGTGCACAGTGGAGCAGCCACTTCTCCGAGGGCATCTTCCTGCAGCCCTTCCTCTTAATAAAGGGACTCTCACGCTATTCTCGTTTACATTGTATAGCACCGCATTATGCGTTAAGTGCTGCACAATTGGCATCCGTTGTAGCGCGGTCATCCCAGAAGGAGGGATTAGCTCCCCCTGTCCACTATCTGCGGCCCCTTTTTAGTTTCTTACTTTTCCTCTTGCCCTCTTGTGGGCTGAAAATCAGAGGATGTTGTTAATATTTGTCAACTGTGGGACTGTGAAGCCCTTTGAGGCTCTTTTGTGATTAAGGGCTGTATAAATAAATGTGACTTGACTTTTGACTCGTCTTGAATAATAAACAGGATTCAGAAAAAAAAAAATAGCTCGAATGGCGTTTCCGTGAATAACGGGATAGGTTCCAAAAATAAAATCAGTAAAGATGTGAATCCGTAATTGCCAAACCGCGAATACGCGGGGGTCCACATCTTGTAACTCAACTTGAGCGCGTGTAAACACAACTTGGAAGCAAGCGACGCTTTCATGTGCACTCACTCTCCCTGCTGGCCAAAACCTTGATTGCCATTTGAACTACAATCCAGCATTTGTGATGGTCTTCTTGAAATCCCTCAAGCTGATATTCAATGACACAACCAGAAAAAAACAAAACTCTTCTCTCCAGCTTGCGGAGTCATGAAAGAATGGGACAAAACCGGTTTTTGCGTTGGTCGACATCCATCATTGGATGCACAAGAGCAATCTGGTAAGTTTGATAATGAGAAATTGATAAAATGTTTGTTGGGAGCAGCGAGTTTGCTTACTTTGGGGACATACTTGGGTGTTGTCCTGCTTTGCTGCATGAAGACGATACCGAAATGCTACGTTTCCGGAAGTGATCGGAAATGCATTCATTTGAATAGATTTGACATGTTACTTCTCACTCCTCGCACATATGTTTGTATGTTCAGAAGATGCCCACAATGAGGTGAAGGAAGGTAACACTACAAAATTGAAGGGTTTGGAGACCATCGCTCCCCTGGTGCGCTCCATCGAGGAGACCCCCGATCCGATCCCCGCTGAGGTGCAAGGGACCATTCCCCACTGGATCAATGGCAGCCTGCTCCGAAACGGCCCGGCAAAGTTTGAGTTTGGAGACACTCAGTGAGTTGAATCCAACCCCACTGAAAAACATCTGCGTGTCGGGCAGGATTTACACTGCAGGTCCGAGTGCCCAATTCTGCAGACACCCGAATCGCACGTAAATAATCTCTACAAGCGTCAGTGCTGGACAGTTGACAGCAAGAAAGTAAATGATGTTAGCCTTCATCAATAAAACGTTCAGTTGGCTTGGGCTAACTCCCTAAAGCAGGAGTGCCCGAGTCAGATCCTTGAGAACAGAAGCCACTGATAAAAATCCTGATCATTTGAATCAGGTATGTCGGAGGAGGGAGACATCTAAAACAGGCTGGACAAGGGTGTTCTTGAGGATCTGAAGGTATCAAATTCCAGAATAGATGCAGAATTGTCTCTTTAACGATGCAGTGTAAACTAAATCCAACCGTTATAGAGTACATTTCAGTTCAAGGGCCCACATCTTGAAAGTCTTTCCTCCTTGGCAGCTACAACCATTGGTTTGATGGGATGGCCATGCTCCACAAGTTCAAGATGGAGAAAGGCCAGGTGACGTACATGAGTCGCTTCCTGCGCAGTGACGCCTACAAGAAAAATAGCGAGCGGGACCGAATCATGGTGTCTGAATTTGGTACCGTGGCAATGCCCGACCCTTGTCAAAACATCTTCCAGAGATTCTTCTCTCACTTTGAGATCATAAGTGAGTATCAACACGTCATTGATCTTCTCATCAGTACATACTGCTAATATCTTGGGAGGACCAAAAGAACCGATGAGTAATTTACGCCCAGAGATGTATACAATGTAGATTTTGACACACAACACATCAGTCCAACTCCGAATTCTACAATGTCCGAAAAGGCTTGCTACATTTTCTGTCGTTTGGTTTCAAACGATGGAGGCAACTCGACACCGTGTTAGCAAACTAAATGTGCTGTAACCAGAGAAGGGACGGACCAGACTTTTGTTTTGAAGCGTGCTGCAGATTTCCACTCGAAGAAATGCGCTCACGCCGACTGTTTATCTGTTCCAGAGCCCACAGACAATGGCAACGTCAACTTGATGAAATACAAAGGGGACTACTACGTCAGCACAGAGAGCAACTTCATGCACAGAGTGAACCCGGAGAGCTTAGAAACACTGGAACAGGTACATGTATAAACTGCCTACTATGCAGTAAGCAGTGTCTTTCTTAAACACTTAAACACTTTATGCCATCTCACACTGCATTTATTCAGGCTTCCTCCATTGTCCTCACGCTGTTGTTACCTAAAATAAAGATTGTTTCCAGCTGGGTCCATATGGACGGTTAGGGACGGAGTTCAAGGAGGAGAGGCTGCGGCTCTGACAACAAGAAGCGTTCTTTGATGCCGCTATGCTTTGCAGGTTGACTGGAGCACATTTGTTGCCGTGAATGGAACCACCGCGCACCCTCACCACGACCCCGACGGCACCTGCTTCAATATGGGCAACTCCTACGGAGGCAAAGGTAAGTACGCTGCTTTCTGTCTTGTCTCTTAGCTTCGGACAGGCCAAAAGTCTCTCCATGTTGTTACATGTCATGACTGTGCCCTTTCAGGAAGCATGTACAATATCATCCGTGTACCTCCTGAGAAGTTCAATGCTGAAGACACACTGCAAGGTGCTAAAATTCTCTGTTCCATTGCGCCCGCAAACTTTTCCCAACCCTCCTACTACCACAGCTTTGGTAAGTCAGTGCATATGGCTGGTACTGCTGATAGCGCTGGTCCTTGAATCTGCGCACCGTTCTCCACTTCAGCCATGTCGGAAAACTATGTGGTGTTCATTGAGCAGCCGAGTAAAATAGACCTGATCAAGTTAGTCACGTGTAAGATGAGGGGCAAGGCGTTCTGCGAAGTCATTTATTGGGACCCCAATCTGGAAACTATCCTGCATCTCATCGACAAGCGTACGGGCAAGGTGAGAGGTCACAGACAGGAATGAAAAATGACTCAATGGGTTTGAGATCTAATGTGTTTTTCTCTCCTTAGGCCAGTCCAGTGAGGTACTACACCAAAGCTTTCTTCAACTTCCATCAGATCAACGCCTTTGAAGAGGATGGATTCTTCATGCTAGACCTGTGTTGCTATGGCGACGGCCAAGCCCTGGACATCTACTACCTTCAGAATTTACGCAAGTCGGGAGAAGCACTAGATGAGGTCAGCTCATTGTTACGTGCGCATTGTGTTCATGCTTTGCATTAAACAGGTTGTGCACAAAGTCTGGTTACATAGGAGACCTTTCTCATCTTGACTTCTTTTTTTTTTTTCTTGGATCCAGGTGTATAACAGCACGAGCCGAGCTTTTCCTCGCCGCTTTGTTTTACCCCTTCACGTGACCGATGACACGCCAACTGACCAAAACCTGAACACTCGTCCTTCCAGTACAGCAACGTGTGTTAAAAAAAGCAACACCAAGGTCAGCGGGCAATTTTATTTCGCTCTTCTACGAGAAGTAATTTTAAATATCGAGATGTTTATGTTCGCGCTGAGAGTATTGCGGTAAATCTGATTCAAGATTCAGCAGAGCAATCCAGTCTTAACAAAATGGTATGGGCTCGATTTATTAATTTAGCATGGACATTGTGATTTATCAAATCTGAGATGAATTCTCGGAGCTGATTTTGCATCTTTAAATTCTTCGGTTATTGTGGTGAGAAGTGGCATAACAAAATGAGAGGTGACGATCAGAAGAAAAAAGATATTCCGCTATTCTGCTATTTTTGAAATGCCAGACACAAAAATTATCGTGACACATCGTCGATTACAAAATACAATTTTGAGAGGCAAACTTGGAGCCGGTCACAGGAAGGAGACACCACCAATAACAAATGTCCTTTCAATAAATATTAAAATCAATTGATGCCATGCAACACACCCACCAACAGCGCACACATTGTGTTTGAGTGATCACACAATTTAGCGCATGTTTTTGGGATCTTCGTAATTTAGGCCTTTTACTGTCTGTCTTCATTTTCTTCAGTCCTGAACCCCGCACTGTCACTGAGCTGCCTTTGCAGACTGCATCGAAAACGCATGACAATGGCTCACTGATCCCCTCTTTGTCATCAGGTGTTCTGCCAACATGAGGATCTCCATGGCGATGACCTTTACAAGTACGGTGGCCTGGAGTTCCCCCACATCAACTACGAGCGATACAACACGCGACCTTATCGGTATTTCTACGGCTGCGGCTTCAGACACATTTTTGGAGACTCGCTTCTCAAGGTGGACCTCAACGACAAAACGCTTAAGGTGGGCAGCCTTTCCCATGATGCAATGCAACATAATCAACACGAACACACTCAATTGCGGTTTCTTAATTTTTTTTTTTTTTTACAAATTTCCCTGATTGTATTCCGGTTTGCTTTTCTGAACAGTGCTTTATGCAATCATGATTGTGTGTATTCCGAGCAAGACAAGACAAAACCGAATGCAACACTTTTGTCACTAAAATGCAACATAGACAACAAACCTAACACTGTAACACAAACCACAACATACACAGAGGATGATACAAGTTAATTGCTGTTCTACAAAAGTACTGCTCTTGCTCATGTGGCCTCAGGTGTGGCATCAGAAGGGTCTCTTCCCATCGGAACCGGTGTTTGTACCCTCACCGGATGCCACGGAGGAGGACCATGGCGTCATCCTCTCCGTGGTTCTCTGCCCCTCGCAGGTAAAATATTTAAAGAAGGGTGAATTTTGTATCATTTTAAAAGTGCCAAACTCAAGATAGATTTCAGTGACGGATTGTACAAATTAAGAGTCCAAGACAAATGCACCACTAAGTCAAAATGTAATTAAAAAAAAAAGAGTTTGCGACTCAAAACAGCACACCAAGCAACGCACTGCGATGGAAAAAAAACATGACCCTGAATCTGGTTTTGAGGCTCTGCACAACAGTAGACTGTACTTTATTCTTATTTTTACTTAACCACAAAAACATGGTGTGATTGTCAAGGAAGAAACAACAAATGTCAGATAAAAAAGGAAAGGGCAATAATCAAACAGACAGCGTGAATATTTTGAGAGACTTTTGGCCATGATCGATTCCTCTTATTCACTGTGTGTTTTCTAGCTTCAGCTATTTCTTTTGTTTTTTTTTCTTGTCCATCATTAGGATAAAGCCACATTCCTCCTGGTTTTGAATGCCAAGACGTTTGAAGAGTTGGGAAGAGCCAAAGTACCTGTCAACATGCCCTATGGCCTCCACGGTGTCTTCAATGCATCTGCTTGAATGAATTTGTTAGAGGTTTCATCAAAAATAAAACTAAAAAAAAAAATCTAAATCCAAAAACATGAACTAGTGTTAAGTACAATGATTTCTGCATCTTGGAATGCGTGAGAAAGCAATCACAATGTCCAAAGGGATGCCTGGTGGTCAATGTACAACCCTTGGTTGCAAGTTATTATTATTTTAAATCAAATCAGGTGTCAAATTCATCTTCCCTCCCAAAAGGTTTTCCTTAACCTCAGGCAAACTTTGCTTGAATGAGCTGAAGGAATGCTGCTAACTTCAGACTCTTCAATTTGGTTTTATTTAAAGCTCAGTTAGGTTTGACGTTGCGCAAGTGAACAAGAGATGAATCCAAGAAAAACACTCTCTTGCTTGACGAAACATGCAGAAGAGCTGAAATGGTTCCAAAAACAGGCCACAAAAGCCTTTCCTCTGTTGCGAGTGCAAAGTTCATCTTCGCGATACCTGATACTTTTTACGTCAAACATGTAAAATTCATCCACTTGAGGTGTTGGGTTTTTTTTTTCACTTGAAATGTGAAAAAATTTAAATAAGTCACTTTGTAGAAAAAACGTGAAATGGATGTTCAACGCAATGCACCTCACAGTATAGAAAATGGGTGGATATTTAAAATTGCAGATGTATAGTACGTCTGCACATGTGTATAATTCTGTGCACATTTGACTTGAAATGCTTTTTAACAGAGGCTGTATCAGTATCACTCATGTCAATTCATCGGGCATTTTGGGGACTGCAACTCATTTTTTACTCAGGTTTACCAAATAATTTTTAAATATCAATGTGTCCGGAAATATTTGAAAATGACTTTGGCAACTATATTTTTAGGCTAATGACCTGGTTGTTACAATATGCTTAATTTGCGTTAGGATTATGAGAGGGTCCTTCGGTTTAAAAAATAAATAAATAAATCTGACTGGGTTCTTGGAGCCAAAAAGTTTGCAAACCGTTGAATTCATGTCACAAAATCAATTTTTAAAAATATCACGTGTGCTTGTTAACTAGACATTTATTTTTTAATTTGTGTAGATTCTCGGTGATGCCGTTAAGGTAATCCACAAAGGTTCAATCGAGTCTATTGGACTCTTTTTATATGTTAAATGTGTTTATTTGTTGTCAATAAACTTTCAAAAATGGCAACTTTATGAATGACAAGTATTGCAAAGGGCTACAGCGCACTACTAATCAGTGGCAATTCCACACGTGACCATTAGAGGGCAGCATGTGAACCCGCACTTGTCCTCCACCCAGGATGTGTGAGGAAAATCGCGGGAGGAAAGTTCAAAGGTGCTAAGAAGACGTATTTTGGTGCAAATTGGGTGAGATGAGTGTGGATTTGAAATGCAGTGGTAGAAATAGATCTGGGAAGTGACTCTTAGTGGCTCCACTGACATTCAACTGCTGAAGACAAAAAGGAAGCAGTTGCTATGGTGGCTAAACGAGGGGGGAGATGATTCAAACCTGTGACTTTTTAATAACGGGACAATCTGTTACCCCCACCCACACTCACTTGAAAGAACACCAGAGATGCATGGAACTGGTTAATTGTTCCTTCACAACTCAAATCTGCCGGTGGAATTTTTTTAGTTAAAGCGATGTCACATTGAATTAATTTCAACAAATATCCCAGCAGGGGTGCAACGAGACTTTTTGGGCCCCATGAAAACAGAATATATCACGCTCCATTAAACAATTACTATCTGGTGTGAAAGACCCTCTCAGCTGCGGGACAATATTTCCACTCAAGATGGAATTTTGCACCATGTACTTTGACAGAGTACATTCTCTCTATTTACGTCATACTTCTGTCACATTAAAACCAGAAAATGTTGATTCTTACGAACAGAAGCATTGAAATAATTTTGTTTGAAAACAAAGTATATTGCAATTAAGATTTAGCGCAGATTTGGAATGACCTCAGCTTAGTGTCATTTGGAGGCCGTGTGCGCGTTGAGGGAACAGATGTGCACTTTCGAAGAAGAGGGGGAGAAAGTAAAGCAACAACGAGCCAAACATTGGAAATGCAACAGTCATTAGTATTGCCGCCATGCCAATATGATTGAGCTGCATGAATTTTTGCTCGCAACAAGTGGCCGGGCAAAGACTGTGACCGCATCAAATGGTATAACTTTTTGATGCGGTATAAGTATCTATCACATCACAGTATCTATCACATCGGTAAAGTATTAAAAAAAAACAAACAAACAAAAAAAAAAACATGACAGTGATTTTCCCTGTTGAGCAATCAAAAACACAAAACGTAATATTTTCTGAACTTGTTTTTGTACTTAACTGACACTCCTATCACCCCATCGACATGAAGTCAACATTGCACTTAAAAAAAAAAAAATGATAATAATAATAATAACCGAATTTGCTCCATGTCCGGCGTGCACAATATGTTTCCAATAGACGACTGTTAAAACAGAGACCAGGAAAAACACCCGTTTTTCATTGCGCTCTACGTTCTCTTCTGATAATGCGACGAAGCTCATTTCCTATTTGCACTCGGCACCCGTCGGTCTGCTTTCACTTACGCCGAAGCTCGAGTGCACGTGTGTGAATGTGTGCCCCCCTGACCTCCGAGTACTGTATACTGTGAGAGAGGCCCGCCGCACCCCGCGTTCCACATTGTGTCTGCCGCATCCAGTTGTATTCCCGTCAACCGTATCCGTTTTCTACACTGTTTATCCTGGGGAGCGGGGGCCTTTCCCGGCTGTGGGAAAGGCTGACGACACCCACGGACTGGGCCTCAGTTAGTCACAAGGTATTAGAGACACAGAAGAAGTCAATCTAAGTAGGAATTCAACAGTATGCTGCCTTGCACTGTAGTCAGGCAAATGTAGTACTGGACCACAAATGACCCAGTCGGATTCCTGTTAACCCATAAAACATGTCTGACATATTAATCAGGACTGCATGGAGGTGTGGGGGGAGGGGGGGTTGGCGCGGCTATTGCTCTCATTGGGCCGAGTTACGCTGCCTGCCGGCCAATAAGAGAAGATTGCTTTCTCTCCTTCTCCTAGCAACAACGCTCCTTTTCTCCGCAGCGAAGCGGAGGGCAAAGCGACAGCCCTAATTTGATATGATGAATAATTGCAACTTAATAGCTTTGCAGCAGAAGGCAGGAAGCGGCCGTTTAGACGTTTTAGCGCGGCGAGGTGATACGATTTCAGTCGCCCGCTTCCTCCATCGCACTCCTCCTTCTGCTTTCAGGCAGCGCCGAACCATCTTAAAGGAACAGCCCTGCATATTTAAGGAGCCCCCCCCCCCCCTCGCTCTCCCCACTTGTCCAGAGGCATTGTGGGTGATCATCTGTACTTGTTGACCTCACAGTGCTTGAATGGTGCAGGGGCCTCTCTCAGGAGGGAGAAGGAGTACCTTGGCACGGACGCTATGCTGGCTTCTCGGCCAGTTTTTCCCCAACGGTTACTGAGCCAAGACGCATATTTTACATTAGAAAAATATTGCGGCACGCCACCAAATAAAAACACCACCAAAATACATGGACTCAATTTAAGATGATCTCATCTTAATTTACGGAACACAAAAATGCACTTGGTGTAAAATGTGGGCCGGTCGAATTGAATTCTGACGTATTCATGGCAACGGGTTTTATTTGTACCTTGTTTTGCCTGTCAGTATATGTAGTTGGTCTGGATGAAGATACATCATTTGTAAATAAATACTTTTGTAAACAATTTGGTGACATTTTCGCCTGACACACATGGTGTTCCGTTCAGCAACGTTTCAGGCAACACAACGAATGTATTTTTATCCCAGAAAAAACACAATTTAGACACAGTGGTACTTCAATTTACGAGTGTCCCGACTTTTTCACTCTGCTGACTTCTTTCATAACGAATGAGCTTCTCCATCGCTCCAGAGAAGTGGGGAAAAAAATTGAGCACTTAAGGTGGAATCTTTACTCACAAAAGTTTACAAACAATTATTTTCACACAAATATCGCTTGTGGTCACGAGCTACGCTTCCTGACATCCACACTCACTTGTGCTTTCTCACACAGTGTAAACATCATTGGCTGCACGTAGTGTTCCAGGTGGTTTATTTTTTTAGTATTCAGTTTGGTTCTCGCTGGTTAGGTAAGCCCTCAGTACCAGTTGCCAAATCTGTTTGTATGTCTATGTGTGAGTGTGTATGTGAGAGAGAGAGAGAGAGAGAGAGAGCTAATGCCACTGTTAGCAAAAGCTCATGAAAATTATTTGGCAACACTGCCTGATGATCTCTCACGACACACCAATGTGCTTCAGCACATTCGCTTGCTATCTTTGAACACGCGCACGCACGCACGCACTATGTGAGCAAGGCTCACTTGTTGAAACAAATTCATCACAAAGCTGAGTCAAGAAAAGATTTCGAGATACAGTAAGACAGCAAAAACAATTTGGATTTGATTTGAGAGGGGCTCTTTCAACACCTGTTGCCACGCTGCAAGAGTGTACTTCACGTGGCTGTCTGACCCCCTGACCCCCATCACATTCCAGCCGTTGCCCTACTGGGACTCGCAGGGAGCGGCGCACATATTGCAAAGTGCCCAAAAATGGCCTCAAGGACCAAGGAGTCGACAAATTGCGGTCGGCTTGAGTACTTCTTCTTCTCTGTGATTCCCAACCACATGAGTATAGGTAATCAGAAGTAGAGATCATCATAATGTCAGTTAATTGGTCAGAAAATGATTTCTTTTCTAATCGATCCATCTATATAGATATGGATATATATCTATATAGATATATCTATATCTATATATATATATATATATATATATATCTATATATATATACATACACACACATAAACGGTTGGGCTCTATGAACTTCTACTGTACTTGCAAGACCTTGCAAATTCAGCATATTACCTCCCAGTGGGTCAAGGTCAATAAGGGTGGTATGCAGAAATTGTATGGCAGGCTGAGGAGCAGATAATTAACTGCACATATGACCCGCCGCCCTTTTCCGGCATCCCTCATCGTGCCTCTCAATTGTTTAACAGCAGGGGCGAACCCCCCCATAAAGCTCATTTAGGCTGCTTTCAATGAGGCTCAATGAGGGAAAAAAAATGCTCTAGCCCCCTTTGAAGTTTGTTCAAGTGTGCCATCCTGCACGGTCGCCGCCTTCTCTCCAGCCCAATGGACCGTTACTGTACTAGCGGCTCAGCGCGCAAGCCCCGTTCAACCTTATGTGACCCTTGCTCCGCACACCTGCCCTCCAGGAATGCAGCTGATGTGACTTTTTTTAATATTCGCCCGCACTGCGAGCACTCAAATTTGGCAGTGCAGCGTTAACACAAGCTGACACCACAGATTAGCCACAGACATCAGGAATGCTACAGCCTTTTGGTGCCACGTGGACTTTGGCCAAGAGTGCCATTGGCTGCAAAGGCCACAAGAGAAAAAAAATGGACACTCAATTCTGTTCTTCCAACATCGTGGCAACAATTTGGGAAGGGCCCTATTCTGTTGCGGAAAGGTCTATAAAGGCCTGCTCGGATTGTGTTGGGTGTGAAACTCAATCAAATATTTTGGGGTGCACTACAACAAACACTGTGGACAAAATATTGCCAGAGACATGCTCCAAAATCTTATTGGGAATCTTCAAGGAGATGTTTGAGCGAAGGAGGTGGCACCAAGCGTGGATTTTCTTTCATTCATTTCCACTTCCAGTCGGTCTAATGGCTAATCCGGAATATACGTCCTAAAATATGTAAACCAAGCATGAGGAGAACATGCAAACTTCAACACAGGAAAGGTCAGAGCTGACATTTGAATCCCAACTGTGAGGCAAACGTGCTGCCCATGATGAAAACAATTCAGTTCGAGTCTACTTTGTATGCAATAAGCAATAAGTAACTCGCTGGCAATGTAATATCCAAGATAACACAAACATGGACATTGGTGCATATCCCATCTTACCAAAAGAACGTGCGTGAAGTTTGAAGTTAGAAGCAGGAAGCTTGAAATAACGTTTGGGATCATTTTTACAAAAGCGCAACTATGCAATCATTTTGGGAGTTGCCGTAGGACATCAAACACATTGAGAGGATTTGTACTGAGAGCAAAGCTTAACCGGGCCCCTGAGTGTGGAATCCCTCCTCGTCTTCAGACACTTTAGTCATGTTACCTTTGCGTTGGCATTCAAAGCAGATCAGCCGCTGACCACCTCTGAGGATTCAGCGACTGGCCGCGCTCTCAGTGCTGCTGTGATGTGCAAATAAACACCGAGGATTGAAATTCTAACAGAGTCTTTTAACATTTATCCTATCATCAAACAGGAGAAGGTGGACGAAAGCCCTGACGAAGGCACGACTGCTTCGTAAGGGGAAAAAGGGTCAAAAGATGCAAAGTACAGCCGGCCAACGGGGGCAGCTGAGAAATTGGTTTTCCTGCAGGTCCACAATCACATACGGGGGCCCTGTCTCATTTCTATGGCAACCTGCAGGCTATTATCATACTTAAACTTTATTAAGAAAGGGCTAAGGTTGGCGGGGGGTATGAAGAGAGGACGGGGGGGAGTGGTGGGGGGCTCATTGTGGTGGATTTTCTCTCTTTACAGCAGGAAAATGGAATGAGAAAGCGTGAATGAGTATGAAAGAGACTTTGCAATGGTGAAAGCTAAGGTGCATAAGAGCTTAAAACTGTACTTCCTGTTCTAATTATGCCTCCAACCGCCCGCCAAAGAAATCTACCTTGTTTTTATTGGGTAATAAAAGCATGTTCCCATTTGGGAGATTTCCATTGTGCTTTTACAACATTTTGAAACCAAGGCTGAATTTTTGGACCAAAGTTATGTTTGAGCACAAACACTAAACTGCTCAACAGCATTCCTCCACTGAAGCAAGGTGGTGGCAACATCATTTTTTTTTCTTCAGCCGGCACTGGGGCCTCAGGCCAGGTAGAAGGAATTATGAACACTTCCAAAATAGCAGTCATTGTTGCCGCAAAACCTTAAGGCTTCTGCCTGAAAGCAAAAAGTTAAAAAAAAAAAAAAAAAAAAGTCAGAGAAAGCCTACTAGAACATCTGAGCTTTATTTGCTGTTAATCAGAGGCATTTTAAACTGTGGCAGATGTTTGCTGACTCCCAGGTAACATGAATTTGAATGTGTTTGGTTAATTCTGAATTTAGCCACGTCTCAATTATAAAAGGGTGTTCACATTTGTGCAACCGCATTATCTCCGCTGTTTATTTCTACTTTGCCTCTCAAAATCAATTGAGTTGTCTGGGTTCTAAGCCACAATAATGGAAAAAGTTCGATCTTGGTCTCATTTGTATATCACAAAAAAGCTGACGTTTGAGCAGCGGTGTGAACACTTTTTTTTTTGTTTTTTTTTTAACAGAAAATGATCTTCCACAGACTGTTCCTACAAAACTGGAGGCAAAAGTTTGTGCCAAATGTAGTCGTAAAATGAATCATTAAAATTTTCAATTTTGTTCATTGTCACAGATCATGTTTATCATTTACTACTGTCAAGTCATCACGATAGTTTTTAATTAGCACTTTTTTTTCTTTTTGGGGGTGGCAGGTGGGGAGGGCTTTAAAACTACCCCTTTTAAGTTTAGTGTGCAGATAATTAGCCAGCAGCACCGAGGTCTGCTTGCTGCTGCTACTGCTAAAACGTGTGGATGTATGTGTGTGGGTGTGCACATGCTGGGTTAGTGTGACAGTGCATTAGCAGCCGGAGTCCATTCGCTCCATCCCCAGAGAGAGGCCAGCACGGCCATATTAACATTCTTCTCAGAAAGGCCACAGGATCTCCTCTCAATGCTGTCTGACTCCAAACAAAAGTCGTGTGTGTGTGTGTGTGTGTGTGTGTGTGTGTGTGTGTGTGTGTGTGTGTGTGTGTGTGAGACTGTATGTGTGTCACAGAGACAGGCTGGCGGTGTATGTAAGTGTATGTAAGATGAGGAGGAAAAGACTAGAAGAGTGAAATGAGAGACAGCAGGAGGAGGGCATGAGATTCATTGTATAGTATATGTGAAGTACTACAGTTTAGATTTGTCCATCACCTCTCCATAAAAAAAAGGAATAAACAACAATTTATGTTCATGTATGTTTGCCACAATTACTGATAATTCTGACATAAGGATCGCTTTATGTGAAGAAAAAAAAAAAACAATTTCAGTGTTTTGGAGAATTCGTGAGCAGCTCGCCTGCACTGCTTCTATTTTTGCCTGCGTACTTCCATGAATGCGCTGGGCTGCTTTTAAACAAGCAGTAATATGAGAGAGGGTCTTCGTTGAATTTGATTATACAGTAACGAGCAGCGCCGGGGTCTGTGTGCATCAGTGTCACAGGCGGTAGCAAGTGTAGACAATTGACTTCCTATGCATAACTGCACAACATCTGGTCTTCATTATTGAGAGGCCGAAATCCTTCTAACGTTTCATGTGAAAACTGCCCCTCGTCATGCAATCTACCTGCTTGACTTGTTCTCGGGCTTGGTGATGACAATGATGAAGCGCATGTGTTGGAATACAGAAAAACAAACAAAAAAAAAATGTACACAGCTCAAATATTTTTTCTATTATCGTAATGTCCTTATGAGGATTTTTAATAAATGCATATATTGCAACAATCTGATTTTTATTGGCCTCTGATTTCAAGTCGAGTTATTTATCAATTTGCTGAACAGAATAAGGGATGCTAAAAATGGACGGATCTGCAATATGAGGCCGGCATTTGGGTTCACCGCCATCACGGCCCTCCGAAGGAAAACCAAACTACGATGTGGCTCACGACAAAATTGAGTTTGACACCCCTGAGTCCTAACTAATTAACAACGAACCTTATTTCACATGCCCAGATAAGCAATAGCCTCTTTTCCTGAAAGGCGCTTAGTAGAAAATACAGCAAAATATGAACAATATTCATTTTATATGCAAAATGACCCGGTCGGTATACAAAGATAAAAAAATATTTTCCATTGTAAATTATAAATTGCACAACAACTGAAGGTGAATTATGTATTTTCAATGGCTAGCTGATTTTTTTTTTTTTTTTTGTCGAATACGGTTGTTGCAAATCTGTGTGGTTCTCCACCCTCAGATCCCCTTTTTCGAACGTTTTTTCGAAGAGAAAGTGTTAATTTTCTCTCTCATTTTACATCGATAGTGGCTAGATATAGGCAAATATATTACGATGAAGAAAACATTCGAATAATTTTAGCGTTCAGGTTCGGCATAAATCTGATGTAGGAAGTTGGTAAGACTTCAAAGTTAGGTGTGGGTGAAGCACATAAGGGCAATGAATTGAATAATGATTACAGCGAAGACAGGATTTGTCGAATAAATAAAACCAGCATGCTAGAAGCATCGACAAATGTTTGATGCCGGTTGGACAATTTCGCTCCAGCGCTGCAGAGGCGAGCACTAACAAGATGGCGGTGGTCTGCAGCGGAAAGACTGGTGAGAGCGCTGTCCAGCGAGGGCAGACCACCCCCCCCAAAAAAAAAACACTGTGAGCTACTGATGGCACCCCAGATGCCAAGTATCACAGTGATTTGGAGCATGTCCATTCCACAAGGCGGGGTAGACCCAGTTCCCCCCACCCCCATCCCCTTCAACTAAAAGATCCTTTTGCTCCAAACGATAGAATCTCTGCCTCCCAGACAGAGGCGCAATACTGCAGTGATAAGGGAAGAGGAAGGAGGGAAAGCGATTGTTGGCACATAAGGTAGCAACATCTGCCTCGGCTTTTGCTGCGGCAGCCAAAAGCGGGCGACACATGCAAGAAGAAAGGACCGAGCCATCTGAGGGCATCTCAGGATGCTGCGCGAGAGGATATGGTTGGAGGGAAGACAGAGCGCGAACATGACCACGCTCGCGTTGATGCTGTGCCCTCATATAACACCTTTACTCATCTTGTCATGAATATTGACAACCTCCCTGGGAGTGAAACTGTGAAAACAACATTTACGAGGCCTGGGCTTTGAATTGAAACTCTGTGATTTCGATTTTGCTTCTCATGATCATAAAACAATATAGTTGAAGAAAAATGATTCATGTGCTTAGAAAGATCACCAATGCTAATACGAGCAGACAATGTAAAATCCCATTAATAGGCTAATAGAACATTAGCATCTGGTTCCAGGAGTTAAATACGTATTCCTTCAAATAATGAATATTCACATACAAAACGCTGTACAGGAACACATTCAGATAAGTAGTAACAGTGAACAAAGGCATATATTCTTCCAAATCTGTGAAAAACGAGTTACACTTCTGAAGCTCAATTCCAACTTTTTTCTTCTACTCTTATCCTAAACGTAAATGTGTACTCCATGCATGCACGGCACCATACTGCCCCTAAGAGGCCACAGCAGGTATTCAATTATATTTATTAGTTCACTTTGTGACCAAGTCATCTTCTTTTTGTTATTTCAAATTATAATTATAGTTGAATTTTGGTTGTTGATTAACTATAGCAATAAATGAATCATTATTTTTAGTAATGATGATTTCAATATCAATCAAAACATAATTTGAGTTTTTTTCACAATTGCCAAGCCCTTAATGATCTATGTACAAAAGCTACATCTCTTTCAGATAAATTCTTTACTGTCTTCCCAAAAATAAATAAATGGTGTGGCCGTGTGAGTGACGTCAGTGACTCTGATTGAAATATAATTTGAAATGACTTCGAAACGTTTTTATCGTTTGTATTAAATTTCACTGTGTTATAATAATATTGTTGAAATTTATCATGCTTTTTTTTTTGTTTGTTTATTTTTGTTTCTTTGCTGGTTGCAATAAATCCCAACCGCCTCATAGGTAGGAATGCATGGGCCGCCGCGCTCACCGAGTGTCGTTACCAAATATGGTGCGTCCCCTGTAACTACTGATTGTTGAGCCATTTGTAGTTGTCAACCATGCGAACAAGGATAGAGAAGTGAGCACAAATATGAATAAGCTATTTTTGCATGATTTCTCATCTTATGGAGAGTCATACACATTGTTTGTAGAAAGCTTTTCCTATTTTCGTCGAGGTTTGTATGGTTTGTTTAGATTGTCTGTCTGTGGTAGCACTCGATTTATGTAGCGAGGACATTTACACCGAACAGTGACATTGACCTACTGGTGCTTGTAGGAAAACTCTCAAAACATTCATTTATAGCACAGGTGACAAACTCAAGGCCCGGGGGCCAGATCTGGCCCACCACATCATTTGATGTGGCCCGCGAAAGCAAATCAAACATGTTGAGTTCTATGATGCTGGCTAAAATTTGTACCAACATTTCAAATTCTCCTATGTAATATATAAGAGAGCTATTGTATGTTTTTTTTGTTACGAAAGCCCTCAATCCAGTAACTTAAACGATAGTTGAATGAACCATTATTCTTGACTTCCTTATATGGTTCCACAGTCATAACGGCCCACCAAGGGAACCGATAACTATAATGTGGCCCGCGACAAAAATGACTTTGACAACCCTGATTTATAGTGTCAACGATCATTTCTAGTATAGGAATCATTCAGAAAAAGTTGTGTGACAATAAAATAACTTTCTGGCTCAGGCCAGGGTAAAGTTTGTGAAAAACTCACTCACCTTTTATGTGGAGACAACATTGCTGGATCAGTAACATTTTTAACATGTTTACTTTGTCTTGAAGGACATTCTCCGAATTGTTTATAATATTTTCTGGGCATACACAAGACAGCTTGCAAACCAGTTTTCATGAGTCAAAATATAAATGTCTCCAATGAGAGCATGTAAAGGTTAACTGGCCACATCCAATCGTTTGATGACCAATACTCGATTAATTGTGTATTCGTACAGTTTATGACATCATCTGAAGCCACCGTAGGCTTGTGTCCTGCGATTGTGTGATCACTTACTTGCTGAGGTCATTCTGGATCAAAGTTCCTTATGGCCACCATCCTCACAGTGAACTGAAAAGAGGCTGTCGAATTAAAAGTCAAAAAAAGGTTAAGTGGTGTGAGACAGTATGGCGTTATATATCCACAAAAGCCAGAACTGTGTCACAAGCGTTCTTCAATGACCACAGTAAAGGTGTAGCAAAGTTAAAAGCTACCCGAGCTACTGTCACGGCATCGTCGTCATTGCATCGCAAAAAAACCTAGCCTTGTTTAATGATCCCCACACCACCGGTGTTCAAGTGCTGGACATCACCGAATGATTGTGACTTAAACAAAGAGGAGTGAGAAACGAAAATACGCTTCGGCGAGAGGTGCTAATGGGGAGCAGGAAATGAAGATACTGAGAGATCACAGCCCAATTATAGAAACAGACATTTGCTTCCAGACACATTTCAACACATGCCAGTAGTTTAAGGAGAACTGAGCACTGAGGCAACATTTCTGAATGTGGCATACTGGCTGGCTTCAGTAAAAAAAAAAAACCAAAAAAAAAACCAAATGTTGACAACGCTGCTGATGCGCTCGCCCCTACAGGCCAACTCTACCGTTCTGTGTATGCTTTGCACACGAGGCAAATTGTTGGAGGTGTGATCAATTAGAGGCGAGGAAAGACGGCGATTGTCATGAGGTCAAACACACATGTACCGAGCTTTAAGTGTCACGCTCTCAAAAGTACTCTGTGTTGCTCTCAAAAAGAAGCATAGAGCCAAGTCCCGTAGCAAGCTGCACAGCCAATGGGCAACGTTTTACGGTATATTTTTGTCTCCGCATGCAGTATAGTACAGTGTTTTTTGTGTTATTTTTTCGAGCTGCTGTTGCACATGACAGTATGCACAATGCATGGCTGTTTGTATGGCACGTGGAAATATTTTTGTGCCCACAAACGTGGCAGCATTTGCCATATCACCCCACCCCGTGTTGGACATGCCTCCATCTTAGTCACGTGTCCTTTATACCCACATTCCTCTATGCATCCCTCCGCCCCCTCTCCTCCACCCAGCACCCCACACGCTGTGCTTGCCTCTGGGTCCAAACCCCTCCGTAACCTGAATGAAACCCACATCTTTCATTTCGCCCGCTTCGATCTCCCACTGTGTGGCCGGCTCGAATTAATGTTCCCCGTCCTCATCACGCCTCGCTTTATAAATGATGCCGCCGCGTCTTTGTTGCGCTTTGTGCCTTTCCGCCATCTTAGTGCATTTTTTTTTTCCCCCTCGGGTTTGTTTTACAATCAAGAGATGTGTGAGTGCCCCTCGCAGCTCCCAAGAACCCAACCCGTGCACATCACAGCAAAACGTCACAAGTTAGGGTCTCAGGGAATGAGAGAGGTACAGACTGCTTGTGTCAGGCCTCGGTTATGCAATTTCAGTGTATGATCATCTGCTGGATGACTATGGCTTGGACTGGAGCAGACAATGGCACTCTCCTCTCTCTCTCTGGCTTTGTGCTCTGCTGCACAACCTTTTGCCACTCGAGCCCAGTAAGTTTGGACCGACATGAGCCACAATCCATGCTTTCATTCATCAACAATGTCGACAATTAAATTTGATGCGGAAGCGACAAACCGATGCAGGCGGCGAGTCGCGAGCAGACAAAAAGAATGATTCGGAAACTTGCAGCAAATGACTGCAGTCACCGCTGAATGGCCATACACACCCAGAGAGACATCGCTTATCACATGACATTCATGAGAACGCCGCTGCTTCTGTATATTCGAGCTTCTGTGTGGCTGCGAAAGCTTGGATTGAGTGGAGCACGGGATGTTAATCGATGTAAAAACGTATTAAACCTGCAAACATGCATGCTCGCAGGTGACAAGGGCGTTAGTAGCGTAGATAAAAATGACCACCGGGGTCTGCCTCGACAGAAAAAAAAAAAAAAGCCTCCTCTAACTGAGGAGAGATTGGGCTCCTCATCGTCAGTTCCTGCTTTTGAGTAAAGTATCTCCAGAGATGCAACGCTTGTCAGCCCACAGAGCCCGCACCTGTGCCATTGTGAGGCTTTCACTTTCTGAAGGGGGAAAGCTTGTGCGTATAGCCGGCAAAATAGGATGGTCGCTCCACGAGGGGCGAGGAAGGATAGGAGGCAACTCACCCGGCTGACTGCTGTCTCGATGGCTGCCGCAGTCATCTCTGCGTGTCTCTCCATCGGTCAATCCTAGCAGAGGGAGGAAGACGACGTGGCCCGACAAGATGGAACGAAAGGCTTCTCTACGAGAAAAGAAGGCGAGAGAGAGAGAAAGACATTTTAGGACCGCTGGCCTGGGCGTTGATGGAAATGGATGAGACTAGCACATGGAGCCGCTATAGCAGATTGCTGCCGTCTCGCCGTCTGCTGCTCAGACATGCAGGACTGCACTATGTGCAGCCAGCGAGAGAGACAGCGAGAGGGAGAGAGAGAGAGCGAGGGAGAGAGCGAGGGAGACAGAGGGAAATATGGATTAAAAGGGTTAAATTAGGTGAACAGGAAAGAAAGACACGTTGAGGTTTGAAGAAACCACGACATAATTGCCGCTTGTGTCCAAACTAAGTGAGAGAAATTCTGTTTGGATGAAGAAACAAGTACCAGCCACGTCATCGACACAACTAAATCTACTTTTAGCATCATTGTTCAACTAAATCATTCCTACGGGATGCTTTGCGGCTGGCAAAAAAACCCCTCAAAAAAACAAGCAGAAGGGAACAAAGAGTACATCAATGAATCCATGCAGCCATTGCAAATGCATGACAACTAATGAATAAGAGCTGGAACAAATGAGGCTGCGAGGAGTCAAGAAATGGAAGTCTGCTAAGTTGACAGCCGAAGCAAATGCACCCAGAAAGGCACATCCTTCTACAAGCGATCCATTAAAATACACGTGGCCACACTTCCTAGATCGCAGCTTTACATCAGCCTCAAAAACAAACAGAATTACTTGGCAGGAAATACACGAAGAAGGAAAAATAAATAAATAAACTGGAGAATAATGGGGAAAAACGTGTCGAATGCCTGTTGCTGTCCGTCGCTCCTCTCCTTTCCCCTCCATATGACACTACGACACTCGCTCGGCTCGCACTGTCTCACACTTTCTGATGTCGGCCAGCGCTTCCGTCTTGCGATATCACACCTCCGCCGTTGGGTTCCCTTCCACTACCTTCACGGATTACAAACTCAGGTCCCCGAGGTAGACAAAACTCGGAGAGCCTCAGCATGGAGCACCAATGCAGCCAAAGTCGAGAAGGGAAAGAGAAATAAAGAACCTTTCATTTCCTCACAGCTGAAATCACTCAAGACTCAAAGGGCCTAATATATTCAGCAAAGGAGCGATAAAGAGGGGAAAAAGAGGGAGGGACAAAGAGAACGAGAGAACCGCATACCACGGGAGACAAAAGAAAAACAGGGAAGAATACATTAGTCTTACAACCCGCTCCTTTTTTTCATTTCAGAATTGAAAAAAAAAAAAGAAGAAGAAGAATCTCAATCCTTCCACGGTCGGCAAGTCCGGTATTCTGTTCCTGTCTGTCGCTCCCTCTGTGTGTGTGAGAGTAAGTGCCTATTACAGCATGTGTGGAGAAAAGGAGGGCGGGAACATGACGGGGAACTAAGCGAACACGACTGAGAGATGAAAGGAGGGCGCAAAGGAGAAAAAACGTGAAAATGCCAAGTGCGCTAAGGCGAACATATAGCCGCGACTTGGAGGCGATGGTCTTAAACTGTAGCAGAATTTGATCATGCCGTAAATCAGCAGCGAGGGCTCGCGAGGCAGACAACCAACATGGTTGGAGAGCAAGACCAACGGGGAGAAGAGGGAATTCTTCCGTCGGGGGGTTCCTCTGACAGGCAACGTTTAAGACTAACATTAGTGACAGCAGAAATGTTGCACGTGTGGTCCCGCACCATTTGTAACTGAAAACCGTCAACGTACTGTACATCATGAGAGTGTAAATATACATTGAATATACCGTGTTAAAAAATAATAGTTTTCATTTTGGCTAGAGTGTCGGTGTCTTATCATACTTGGACTATGACTTTTTTTTTTTTTTTTTTGTGGACATTCTGACACATTTTGTCAGTCATCCAACCACCCCCAGCTCACCTCGGCACACCTAACTAACTATAGAATTATTTTAAATGCGTACATTTAAACTCCACAAAGGGTTGTGGGCAGTGTGGCTCTTTCGGCAATTATGGGTACATATTTCCCTGCGGCCACAATCACACAAACAGCACAACTATGTGCAAGAATCGACACAAGAGTCACCTTGACTGTAAGTGACTGCTCGCTGGCTAACACTGCAAAGAACTGCCCCGTACAGTGGGCCCCAGCTTCTTTCTGGCCCAAAGAACTCGACTTTTTTTCCCCCAACCCCTCCATTCATCCCTCCCCACCTTCATCGAACCCGGTGGCCTTGAGACAGAGAGCGAAGAGTTTAAGTGGAAACAGTCTTTCATCATCATACCACTCCCCGGACTGCACATCTGCACGCAGCAGCCCACCAGGCTATATCACATCCTTCTAACTGTCCGGTACACAAGGGGCTTGTTTTATTCTTTAGATGTGTTTGGATAAAACCTCTTATGGGAGCAAAATGTTTGGATGTAAGATAGAGTTTAAAAACAACAACAACAAAAAAGCCGTCCACCAGGAAGATTCATGGTATTTATTTACAAGCCAAAATGTTCACCTGTCGGTTTGCAAGCCTGCTTGCTTCAGCTCATGTAACAGAGACATATATACTGCATAGGGTTCTGTGGGTTTCTTGGTTTGATTCAGCGAAAAGTTTTGACTGGCTCTTTGGATCACAGCAGAGGAAATACATCATTTTGGTTAAGTGAAACTGACCATTGCACATAATTGGGCGCCCAAACAAAGTTCTTCCCCCTGCGGCTGTATGGTGGTTCCCCCTCAGTTACATCTCTTTCATTCGTCCGGCCCACAGAACTTGCTGGGGGCAACGTGTTGCTGCTGCGTCCCTTAAATCCGAGGCTTTCTTCCCCTATTCATTTCCGAAATTTAATAAAGTGCCTAACCTGAATACATGATGATAATGTGTAAAAATGCATGTTAAAAGAATCCATGTGAAGAGAGGCTGTTCCTCAGGGAAAGCTAGGAGGCTGTACAGTTATCTCCGGTGGTGTCACTCTGAACTATACAACCTACTACCTCACCCTGCGGACCACTGAAGCGAATCGCGGCAACGATACTTTGCAGCAGAGGAGTAAAATAGTCGACACAAAACAAGATGATATCGATTGTCAGCTCCTGGGAAGTGACACATATTTCTCGGTTCAATGATTTGTTGCTGTTTTATTGAAACTACAAGATATAAATGTAAGCTCAAAATAAATTAAGAGCACTATATTGATACATCGACCTAGTGGCCTAATTTAATCTTCATAACATGATCATAAATTGGTGTCTGAACCTCTGAGCGGATAAAAGGGGACACGTGTGATATCTGTCGTAGAAATGATCCTGCTAGCCCAACTTTCAAGGTCATCCAGGCTGCAGTTTAACCTTGACTTGGCACCGGCAAACAGAGATTTTTCTTGAAAATAAAATTGGACTGTGTAAAATACGGTAAGATTTGACATGAGGTGCATTTTTAGTCCGTCGCTGGGCAGGTGTTGCTTCTGCCAAGGAGACACATACCTGTAGATACGAGCTTGTGCAGCCTGTCACCACAAGTTCGGATCTACGGGTTTGTGGCAGCTGGCGTTACCACTGCAGGGACACATGAAAACATGGAAAAACAATTCTTGACTCCATCATGTTTTTTTTTTTTTTTTGAACAAATTAGTCACGTCACTCTCTGTAGCCTGTTGAAACATTTCTAATTTTGTTCCCAAGCGGCACCTCGTAATGGCAAAAGAGAAAAACAATGCTGAATGGCTTATCCATTGCTGCAGATATGAATCACATGTTGTTATATCAAACCCTGATACACTAAACAGGCCAGAGCTCCTGATTGTGGTTTGTTTAAAATCCTGTTTCGATTCTTTTGCGGTCAGCATCTACATTTAAGAGGTAATATTATTGTATTCTGCAAAAATACTGATCGCATGAAATGAAAAGTCCCAATTATTAATCATGTGGAAATGTTGATTTAACAAGGGGTGTTAAAATGACCTTGAACGCTGTTAAATATTTCATCGCTGGATTTCACGCAAAACACACTCATTGTAATAAGAGCAAAAAAAAAAAAAAAAAAAGACTGGAAAAGTAACAAATAAATGAGCGGTGCATAATAAACCACAAAATAAATTCTAGAATTAAAATCAACGGATGCATATTAATCGCTGTATGAACAAATCTGTGGACAGAAAAAGAGCCTCTGCGGTGCACACCAGGCAGAGCCGGACAGACGCAAGTATTGCAAATGGCAAACATACCAACAGGGCACAGGCTGGACACTGACGCTCAAACATCCTCTGGTGTCAAATGGACTCCGTCGGGCTTTGAGATCCACCGCAGGCCAGCGCTTCAGCGAAAATCAACAAGCCTGTAAGCAGACGCAGATTGTCACAATTTGACAGTAACACTATCAGAAACGAAGAGTCTAACGTTCACAGAGACCAAGCCACGGCGTCTAAAACTTTATAGGACCTGAAATTCAAACAATTACATCACCTCGCTGAAAACTACAAGCTCTAAAAAAAAAAAAAACATTTCAGCATAAAAATAAGCTGCCAAATAACACGCAAAAGTAAGATGGGAACATCCCCTCGTGTCTTTGTTACGCCCTCCTAAACAGTTCTTCAGTCTCCATTTTCCGGGCTCTAAAATCCTCGAATTGTTTTAAAAAAACGGTACGGCAAGAGAGAAATGGCAAAAGGTTGTAAGCGGTAAGATATGGATGAGGAGGAGTCGCAGAGCTGGCCACAGAGAAAGTGGAATTTGTGACTCGGCAAAGGGTGGTGTTTTTTTTTCTTTTTTTTTTCTTTTTTTTTTTTTTTTTTTTTTGGTGCCTCATTTTGCATGGCTCTTTGGGATCCCAGCAGGATTCTTGGCTGCAGCTCCGTCTCTCCTTAGTGCAGCAAAAATTGGATATATTCCTTTGTCTTTAAGACGGAAAATACTAATCATACTTAAATTGAGAGATGAGACAGCAAGGGCGAAAGTGCACGGCATATAAGCGCCGCAAAGCAGAAGCAACAGCACAAAATGTAAATCAAATTAAAAATGAAGGTGGAAAATGTTTTTTCTTACTAACATCATCCCCCAAGTTCGAGCTGTAAAATGAGCCTCCCGCACTACTACCAAAGCAGCAAACGCAGCAGCCAAAACCTTTCCCGAATCTACGCCACGTAGTGAGAGAAGGAGAAGCAAACACTTTTTTCCTCTCTCCAAAATGGCTGAGGGCCGGGCGAAAAGCAGCTCTGAGCATATGAGAGCAAGAGCGGTGCTCCCCGTCCCACATCGGGGAGGGCTGGGCAATTCAGCGAGCATCTCTCGCCGGTTTCCCTCTACTCTCTCAAAGTCTTTGTCCCATTCACACGGGACCGAGGGTGTACAGCTGGGTCACCGGGCCATAAGAAATGCCGCAATGGTGCTCGAGGAGGATTCGTCGAGAATTAATATTTGTCCCTCGCGGCGACACACCGGTATCTCGAGTCTCTTTGAAAGCTCCGCGCTTCACGTTTTATTGTCAAACGCCTGCTGAACGTCAACACAGGACGTGACTATTTAAGGAATGATATTCAACACATCAATGAGCGAGTTCAATTTTCAAGGCTGCTCAAGCTACAGCGCACACACCTCATACTTGCATTTACTTGGTAAAAAAGAACATTGAGTAAAGTGGATTTTTCATATTCATATAAGATTTGAGTCCTTTTTAGAGTGCGCGCCATTGGACACGCGTTATCTGTTATCATTTCACCACTGGAAAATCATTTTAGTATGTAATCTCCTGTATTATCTCTGCAACTTGTTTTGTTGTTTGATGACTTATTAGAATGCAGAGCATTTTCTGTGCCTCCTGCGGACTGGTTGAAATTGTGCAGCACTCCAGTGCACATTTAACTGGCCCCTCCGTCCTGTATATGAAGGCTATATCAGGTTTTGAAATGTTAAGAACCGAAGAATTGCACGGGACATTAAGTCTCCCGCGTACTAGCTTAGCCACAGCATGACAATGGGCTTGCTGTCTGCTCCGCGGTCACCACTTGAATCTAAATGAACAGATTTGACTTTCAGGATATTGCCCAAAACCCTGTCACAGTGCCGACACCGACAAGGGCCTCTCCAAAACACAAGGTTGAAGAGAACAGAAGCATTGACGTAGCCATAACCCCAATCCTTTAAATCTACTCACAGGGCCTGGGAAAGAGGCAACAAGAATAACGGGTAAACAAAAGATGACATTTCAGAGCAATAATATCGGGGTGGGGACAAAAGAGAGTAAATGAATGTGCGGAAAGTTACATCCATCATTACTTTACTACTCCTTGTACTTTGCTTACATTAAATAAGGAGTAAATCACATTTTTTCATACTATTGTATGAGCTGCAGTCACAGGGGTTCCAAGTTCACAGCTCAACATTCCACTTGAAATCATCCTTCACTTTTCCTATCGAGACAACATTTCTGCTTGACATTGTTCCAATAAAATCTGCTTTCAAGGTGGCGTTTAATAAAGGCAAACTTGGCGAATAACAGAGCGACACAGCGATGACAAGTGAAGCTTTCGAAATGGTCATGCAGTTCGAGCAACGTGAACTTGGGTGACATCAGTGCGGTAAGAGATCGAAAAGTAACACCAGATGCCGAAGCTCCAACAATTGCTGTAAAACATTGCTGAGCCTTCAATAATAGGCTCAGCAATGTTTTACAGCAATTGGCAAACGATGCAAACTATGTAAATGCGTGTCCTTATGTGGTAGGAAGTCCTATTTTAGCAAGCACAACTCAAGAGTCTACTGTACACTGGCAAGCCTAGAACCAGCATGACGACGATTCAACCATGTCTTGTGAGTTAATTTTGCGCTATGGAAATCTCCGCGCAGACATAAACCGGGAGTCAGAGGCGAGTCAGTACCCTGGGAAGAAATCATAGTCCGAAAATGTGTCCTTGTCCTACATGGTTGTCTCCTAATTGCCTCTGGGCCCGCAGCATTGATTAAAATAATATCAGAATACTTTTTGGAATACAGTAATTACCGGCAAAATTTAGCACTCCAGGGGGGTAGGCTGAGTCCAATTATTTGGATATATCAGTTCAAACACGAGATAACCGCCTACGGTCCAGGCTGTCATTGTTTGGTGCTGCTTGCACACTCAAGTGAAACTGGTTAAACCAGTGAAATCACATCAATAGCACTGCTGCACTGGAAATTATAGGCTGTGGATAATTGCAATCAAAAATCAATGTGAAGAATCAAATGATAAGGATTATGGTCATTCACAATTCAACCTTGAGTGTTGACTCAGACGACTCAATATTTTAAATCACAGCATTAAACATCGGTGATAAGCGGTGATCTCAAGCTACGTCAAGCAGGTTGTAGGGTTTTGGAAAAAAAAAAATCTCAATCCACATGAAAACGCAAGCGGAGGCTGTCAAGCACATGCCAATAGAACAGGTGGTGCCATTTTAGGCAATAAGCCTGAGAAAAGTCCACAAGGGCAACTGAAGGAAAGAGGGAATTAAGTGCAGACTGGAAGTCAATTGGATAGGGTCTTCGGCGTTCCTTGAACACTTGAACTGTACCGAACATGTATAGATTTTCTGTCACCATCTGATGATGTAACGACAAAACAGCGCACATTGTGAAGGCATAAAAAGAGGAAGCTACGAGTTTTGGAAAATGTCAGCCTTGTCCAAGGTTTTAGAAAAAGCTCTTTTTTGTTCCCTTCAAATGAGTTGACATTGAGTTTGCAATGGTGAAGTGCCAAACTTCATTGGAAAGCTAGAAATGTGTGGTCATAAATGACCACATTTATGCCACGGGGCAATGCAGGCATCCTGTAATTGTTTATGACCCTCTACAGGCGCTTAAGAGTTTTGAATGGCAAAGCATGTTGCACTTAGAGTATACTGGAAGCAATATTTTCCAATGACTACCTTCAATTGACCAGGGGAGTGCTTTTTAAAATAATCATTAATTCAATTAATTGATTTCTACAATGATTCAATGGCATTGTCCCTGGCTGTTGTCATATTTCTGAATGAAATTCGATGACCGCACAAGTCCATGGAGCTCAGGATCTGTCTGCCCGCATCAAGATCAAATCCACAAAAAAAATAAATAAATTGCATTACGCGACCTGCACCGCAGCTTAGTCCTGCTTTTAATTGGTCTAAATTTGAGTCTACTTTCTGTCACCAAATTGTCAGGTGCACTGAGGGCGCGTCATCAAAAACGCCAGAATGCCCTGAAAAAGCGCAGCCGGGTCTGGCAAATTCCCAGACATGAAAAACTAGACTTGCAGTGGCACAAAAATGAAGATGCGGCAGTTTTTCAGCCGAGCACCCAAGCGTCTGTCTACAAAAATGAGACCCATACCAGTTTTGGGGATGCTTTCAGTGAACTTGACAGAAAACTCTGTTTGAACAGACTGTGTGGGAGGCCAGTGGGAAAATAATATTCTAATATCTAGTGCAACAGAGGGATTGCATAAAGCCTGCATTGAGCTGGATAAAGTACCAGTGCGTGAGTAGTAATTGATTACTGCACGTTCTCAATCACATATCTTTGGTTCGTGATGTTTATTTCAACTTGAATATCTTTCTGTGCTTTCATCTCACCCATCTTTTGCAGTTGCTTGTCCCATTCTGTTCCCTCCTCTCACTTCCCCTTTCAAATATTCTGCTCACGCACAACTGCGGCAGCCTTTCTCCAGTCCTCCCATTAATCCAAACCACAGACATCTTGGTCCACTGTCTTGTCTCTACAAGTCTGGACCTTTTCGACAGAGAGTGATCACTGCTGGCAACGCGACCAATACCTCATACGCTCGGTCCATCGAGTTAATGCAAATTAGAAAAAGGTGTTTACAGTCCAAGCTTCTAATATCAAATGTATAAGAAATACCAATTCAACCTGCCCCGGTTCAGTGATGCTCCGATCAATTTAAGAACAGAAATAAAATTCATGAATTCCTGTAGCTTTTTTTCTGATGGGTCTGGTCAGCGTGTGCATGCGCGGAATGCGATTCAGCCGCCTTTCAGGCATTACTGGACAGTTTCTGATGGCTCAAAGCTCATTCCTCTGTGACTTTCTGCTTAGTGAATGAACGCGGTTAGTGAGGATTAAATAAAAATCCCTTATTTATATTCCTCCTGTTCTTTGTTTTTTTTTTATGTGCTAATGGAGACGACTGCATCAAAGTGGCATTTTTGCCATCGGTATTTATCTGTAACTAAATGAAATATAATAAGCAGCCACTTCTTTCATTGTTTTCAACAAAGTACATTCTTTCCAGAGTGCGGCTGATTTCTTAGCAGATTTATTCCGTCAAAAATACCCCCCCACCACTCCCCCCTGCGTACAAGGCAC